CACTCTTCCACAAACATGTTCCCGTGCAGCTCAGCCAGCTTGTCCCTGCAGGAGAAATGGCACAGGTGAGCTGGGGAAGGGTGGGGAGCCCTGGGAGAGCTCCAGGGCTTCTCTGCGCCCCAGCTCTGCCAGGGGATGGATTCATCTCCCACCAGGGACAGCAGTTCCCAGCCTCAATTTTAACGTTTCCATCTGCAGCCCTGATTCCAGCTCCTGATCCACTCAAACCTCAGCTCCCGGGAGCACCCAGATCTCTGCTTTTCCAGCACCCAACATTCCTGTCTGTCCCTGTGCTGTTCCAGCCCTCTGACACCTGTTTTTCCTAAAATTCCCCTCGGGCTCGGAGCAGAAGCCAGAGGAAAACACRGCCATGCTCTCCGTAATTTCCTCGGAGCCCCACTCCAACCTCCTCCAGGCTGGATGAGACAGGACTGACTTGATTTCCCCCAGTTTGGCCCCAGTTCAGTGGTTCTTACTCAAGCTTCATTTGGGAGGCAGAGCTGGGCTGAACTGCAACAGGAGCCAGCRGCTCCGGGCTGTGGGAGCACCATGAATTCTGTCATCATTCCCTACCCCCTTTCCCATGGTTGTTTAGTTTAAACAGACAAACGTGAGGCTGGGAGCAGGACCCAGGATTTGGGGTTTGTAATCCCAGGAAACACCCCCTGGAGGCAGCTCTGGCTGAAGGTGTGAGGAACATCGATGCTCCTCGGTCATTCCTGAGAATGGATTGGGTTGGAAAGGACCAGATCATCCAGTGCCACCCCTGCCACGGGCAGGGACACCTTCCACTGTCCCAGGGTGCTCTGAGTCCCACCCAAAGCATCCTCAAATGTCACAGGGTATTCTGAGCTGGAGGAGATCCACAAGGACCATCGAGTTCAACCCCTGCCCTACCCAGGGCACCCCAACAATCCCCTCTGTGCCTGGGACTGTTGCCCAAGGCCTGTTTCCCTGTTTTATCCTTTTTTAAACTGTTGTTTCCCAGTTTTATCCTTATTCCAACTGTTGTTACTCTGTTTTATCCTTGTTCAAACTGGGATTCCATGATTCCATGACCTGCACACAAACAGCACCCGGAAGCATTTCTAGAGAACAACAATTTCATTCCATGACCYTCTGGATTTGAACCACAACCTCTCTCCTCTAAATTCCAGCTGGTTCATCCCCTTCCAGTTCCACTCCCCGTGTCAGACAGGGCAGAGATTCCCAAGGAATCCTGTGTGGGGCTGGGAAAGTACCGTGGGAATCCTGAGCGCACGTGCAGCCCATCCACGTTCTGGCTGACCAGGAATTTCAGGATTCCCACTCTCTGCAGCCCCAGCAGCGCCATGTGAGTCTTGGAGGGCCTGGCRTTCTCAAAGGTGGTGTCGAATTTCGGGGAGAGCCCTTTCTCTTCCATAGTCCAGACACCATTGGGGCCCCTGCAGCCGTGGAGAGAGCAGGAAGGGAGAGCTCAGGCTCCAGGAACAGCACCAGCACCGCCCATGGGAGCAGAGCTCATGGATCAGCAGCATTTTGGGGGTTGGTGCAAACAGAGCACACATGGGGATTTTGTGTTAGAGGGAAAAGGGATGGACAGGAGGCRTGGGGCAGGTCTGGGGTGAACCAGAGCTTTCCAAGAGTTTTCCAAGATGGGAGATGGACTCGGAGGAGGCACCACCCTCCCWGCCCACAGCCTTACCTGAAGTCAGGGATTCCCGAGGCCGTGCTGATCCCTGCTCCCGTGTGAAACACCACATTGGAGGAGCTCCGGATCAGGTCAGCCAGCTCCTGCACCTTCCGCTCCAGCTCCTCCGGAGGGTCGAAAATCTGGGAAAACAAATCAAAACAGCGTGGGATGGAGACATGTGGGGTGGATCTCCATGGGTACATGTGGGTGGATCTCCATGGGTACATGTGGGTGGATTATATGGGGAAGGAATCCTTCCCTGGGAGGGCGGTCAGGCCCTGGCACGGGGTGCCCAGAGCAGTTGTGGCTGCCCCTGGATCCCTGGCAGTGCCCAAAGCCAGGCTGGACAGGGCTTGGAGCACCCTGGGACAGTACAAGATGTCCACAGGGGTGGAATGGGATGATCCTTCAGGCGCCTTCAACCCAAACCATTCTGGGATTCTATGATTCCAGTGCCCAGTAACCCCAGTAACAATTCATCCTTTCCCACGAAGGATTTCGCATTCCTTAACGACAGAAGCATTTAATGGGAGAGACTCAACGCTGTCCAGAGCGTCTCCCTGCAGGGACAGGGCTGGAACACCCAACACCAACAGCAGTTTTGTTGCTCTGACAGGCAGTTGGACCATGCTGGGCTCCAGGAGTGACCCGGGGCCACCTCACGTGTGCTCAGTCCCAGCTGTCACCAGCAGTGCCACCGGCTCTGGGGACAGGGCAGGGCTGAGGGACAGCGTGGGACATGGGAGCTGTGGAGGTGGGGACAAAAACCCACTTTGTGGGGTCGGGATTGAACTCCTGAGATGCTTCTSCAGCCCCATCTCTTGGGGACAGGGACAAGGACAGGACCATGAGTGTCCCTGTCCCCTCACTACCCGCTTGGCTTAGGACAGGCCCCATCTCTCCTCCCAAACCCTGTTTTAAGCTTCCCAAGAGCTGCTGGAGCTCAGGGGGATGAGGGGGGACTGGTGGAATGGCCCTGAGGGAGATATGATGGGATTGGGGGGACATGGAGAGAGCCGTGGGATGGATGTGGGGGGAGAAGGAGGGAACCGCTGGGTGGCTCAGGGAGGCCACGGAAAGGGAACAAGGAGAGAGCCACGGSTGGGACATGAGGGGGACGAGGGAGCCATGGGGACGCCACGGGAGGRGCCACAGCCGGTGGGGACAGCGAGGGACCCGCGGGATACGCTGGGGACACACGGAGGGCTCGGTCCGTCCCCGGTGTCCCCGAGGTTGCCATAGGAACGGGCCGGGCCGCGGCGGGGCCCGCGCAGGGCGGGAGGCCCGGGAGGGCGGGGGGCTCTGCGGGCGGGCGGGGGCTCTCCCGGGCGGGTTGGGGTTCCCCGGGCGGTGCCGCGCTCACCTCGGGGAGGCCGCACTTGCCCTTGTCCGAGTACGGGGACAGCCCGGCCGCGTAATTCACCGCCATCGGCGCGGCCGCAGCGCGGCCGGAAACGCGGGGCGGGACCGCGGCTGAGGGAACCGCCCCGGGGCCGCCGCCACTGCCGCCATCTTGGAGCCGGGCAGGGCGGGAGTGCCCTCAGTGCCTTCAGGCTGCTCTGAGGGTGCCCTGGCCTGGCACCGCCCTCAGTGTGCCCGGACACTGCCCTCAACCTGCCCGGACACTGCCCGAACACTGCCCAGACATTGCCCTCAACGTGCCCAAACACTGCCCAGACATTGCCCTCAACGTGCCCAAACACTGCCCGGACACCGCCTTGACACTGCCTTGACACTGCCCTCAACCTGCCCGGACGCTGCCCTCAACCTGCCCGGACATTGCCCTCAACGTGCCCAAACACTGCCCGAACACTGCCTGGACATTGCCCTGATCCTGCCCGGACACTGCCCGGACACTGCCCTCAACGTGCCCGAACACTGCCCGGACACTGCCCGGACACTGCCCTCAACGTGCCCAAACACTGCCCGGACATTGCCCTCAACGTGCCCAAACACTGCCCGGACACCGCCTTGACACTGCCTTGACACTGCCCTCAGTCTGCCCGGACACTGCCCGGACACTGCCCGAACACTGCCCTCAACGTGCCCAAACACTGCCCTCAACCTGCCCGGACACTGCCCGGACATTGCCCTCAGTCTGCCCTCACGGTGCCCTGACCTGGCACCGCCCGAACACTGCCCTGGCACTGCCCGAACACTGCCCTCAACCTGCCCGGACACTGCCCTCAGACCGCCCTGGCAATGCCCTCACACAGCCCCGACACGGCCCAATCTGCACTGAAACCCAGCCCGGGGGCAAACAGAGGTGGTCAAAGGGGCGCTGGCGAGGACAGGGGTGCCAGGGATGGGCAAGAGATGCCACCAAGAGCCACCAAGGAGAGCAGAGGGTGCCAGGGAGGAGCAGGGGACGGTGACAAGAACAGGAGGTGCCATGGCGGGGAAGGGGAGGTCAGGTCGGGACAAGAGGTGCCACCACGGGCAGGGGGTGTTTGGGACGGGCAAAGGGTGCCAAGCACCAGAGCCCAGGCTGTCCCCTCCCCACACACCCCGTGTCCCCCTGTCCCCCTGTCCCCRGGCAGGAGAGGTGCCCGCAGACYCTCYCCAAACACCGCCCGGCCCGGCCCCCCCGGTGCCCGGGGCTGTAACCGCAGCCGCGGCCGTAACACAATCCCCGGCTCCGGTTCCCGGCTCCCGGCGCTGCGCTGGCAGCTCCAGCACGGCCCGGGAGCGGCGGATCGGGGGGAACCCGAGCTGTCCCCGGGCGGGGACGGACCCTCCAGCGTGGCCATCCCCGAGCAGGTGCCGCAGGGCTGACTGAGGCTGAGCCGCCATGAAGAGCCTGAAGGCCAGGTTCAAGAAGGCAGATGTGAGTGCCACCCCTGGGGACGTGGGGACACGGGGATCTGCTCCAGGATGTCCTCAAGGACACGGGGACCTGCCCTGGGATGTTCACTAGGCCATGAGGAGCTGGGGATTTTCATTTTGCCCCCAGCGTCGCAGGGACGTGCCCTGGGACACGGAGTGGCCGCTCACCACGGGGACAGCAGCCCCACGGAGGTTGGCACTGCCACCCTGCCCGGTGGGATGGAGCCCCCAGTACTCCCAGAGCCATTGCTGGGAGCGGGGCAGAGCAGAGGAGAGGGAAGCGGGTCCCAGGTCCTTTCTCTGTCCCCTTCCTGGGGACAAGTGCCGCTTTGCCAGCTGCCACAACCCGTGGAACCGGCCTGTCGATGCTCCTCAATTATTCAGCAGTGGCCTGGCACGGGGCCRCAGAGGGCAGAGGGGGACAGCGCTATCCCCAATGCACTGGGGGGTCACAACTGGGGACATGGGGACACAGCTTGAAGCCYCTCACATGGAGTTTTGGGGGACCACCCTGCTCCGTGCCTCCGTTTCCCCACACTGCCCTGGCCGTGTCCCTGAGAGGCTCCCCATGTCCTGCTGCCACCGGGGCCCTGCAGGGCAGTGCCTGGGCACCCTCTGCGTTTTGGGGCTCCCCCCGAAGGTGTTTGGGGGTTCCTGAGATGCACTCGGGGGGGGTTCTGCCCTCCCTTGGCCCCAGGACAGGGCAGGGCAAAGCAGGGGGTGCCACATCCCCCTCCTCGGGGCAGGGTGACAGTGACACGAGGATGCTCAGCCCCATTTTGGGGGTGTTTTTGAGCACAAGATGGGACAGCTGCGCCCCGCGGCCCCAACCCCTCCTTTAACTGGGAGCAGTGTGTGTGCGGGAGCCGCTCCCCGCGCCGTGGCGGGATGCAGGGACGCGTGGAGCGGGGATGCTGAGCAGGGAGCGAGGGAGGGAGGGGACGAGGGAGGGACGGGGGTGGGTGGAGGCGGTCCCGGCTCCCACTGCCGCAGCCCCGGCCCCCGCCCGGGCGGCGATGCCGGAGCGCTCCGGGCTCGGGGGTGCCCGTGCTGGCCGGGGCTGGGGGCGGGGGGCGCATGGCGTCCTCCCGCCGCCTCCTGCTCGGCACCATGAAGCAGATCTGCCTTTGTGCCGCCGCCTCCTTCGCGGTACGTCCCGGCTCCCCTCCCGGGTCCCCTCCCGGCTCCCCTCCGGTCGCGTCCTGCGGGCTGAGCCGTGTCCCCCCCGCCGCCCCCATTGCCGTCCCCATCCCCATCGCGGGGCTGCTCCGCGTCCTCCCCATCCTGCTTTGTCCTTGCCTGACACGGGGGTGGAGGGAGCGGGCACCACCCTCYCAGTTTGCCCAGGAGCCCCGGGAGATTGGTTTGTTCCCTGTCCCTGGTTCCACCGGGCTGGAGGGGCTCGGGGGAGGGCACCCGGCGGGCACAGGCGGCTTTGGGACAGGTGCCAGCGGCTCCCGAAAGGTGACATCCATTTCCTGCCGCCGCGACCGCAGCCAGCGCCGCTCTGTCGTCACCGGCTGCGGGGTGAACCCAGGACTTGCAGTCCTTGTCCCGCTGCGGGTCGCTCCTTTGGGATTGGGGTGTCCAGGAGCGCTGGGAGAGCGAGTCCTGGGTGGAGGGGACGGCGCCGTGCCCCGTTATCCCGGGAGGCTGGAGCATCCCCGGGGATCTGCTCTCGCTGCTTTGATCTGTGCTCGCCCTGCTTTGATCCCTTCCTCCTCCGGGAGCAAAGCGGGGCTGGGAGTGGGATCAGTGGGGAGAATGGGCAGAGCTGGGGCTCCCATGGGTGCTGGCTGTGTTTAGTGTTGGGATTTGGGGCGTCAGGGGCGAATCTGGGGGCAGCCGGGCTCGCTCCTAAATCCCAGCCCGGCACAGCTAAATCAGGCTGGGTCTGTAAATCCCAGCTCTGTGAGGGAGAGCTCCATCCCAATCCCAGCTGAACTCTCGGTACCTGGGGGGAGCTTCCAGGAGATGGTGGGGGAGCACAGCAGGGATGGGGACAAGGCCAGCCCAGCCCAGCCCAGCCCAGCCCTGGGGACAGCACTGTCACAGCTGGCACTGTCACAGCTGGCACTGTCACAGCTGGCACTGTCACAGCCTCCTCTGGGCTCCGTTGCAGAGCCAGGACTGGACCAAGAACGACGAGAAGCTGCTGCAGGCCGTGGACTACAACGATGCCAGCCGGGTCACGTCGCTCCTGCTCCGCAAGGGCCTGGTGCCCACCAAGCTGGACTCGGAGGGCAAATCCGCGTGAGTGCCCRGCCCCGCCCTGGGGACACGTTTGGGGACAGGGGACACGAGTCCCACAGCTCTGGCTGTCGCTGCAGGTTCCACCTGGCTGCCACGCGGGGGAACGTGGACTGCCTGGAAGCCATGCTGGCCCACGGCGTGGATGCCATGACCAAGGACAGCGCGGGTGAGGGCATGGCCACCGTGGGCAGCCCAAGGCCACTGGTTGTCCCCAGGTGTTGAGGCTGTGTTGGGGTCAGAGGTGGTGGCCAAACTGGGGGGCTGTAAATTGTCGCAGTTTGCTAAAGGAGCTCAGGCATTGCCCATTTGGAGCTCCTGRSGTTKTCCCTTTCCTGTTCAGCCCCRTTGCAGCAGATCCCCCKGTGTGYYYRTCCCTCTGTCTGTCCCCAGGCTGTCCCCGCTGGCACAGCCCCACTGTCCATGCTCTGACCTGTTTGTCCYTTCCCAGGTAACACTGCCCTGCACTTGGCCTCCAAGCACGGCCACCCCCAGTGTGTCAGCAAACTGCTGCAGGTACGGCCGGGGGGAGGAGGGAGGGAGGGAGGTGCTATGCCAGCGCGGTGCCCTCCCTTGTCCTTGACCCCCCTTCCCTCCCCAGAGCCTTGGCATGGGGGCTCCCAGCTCTGTGTGCCACTGCCTGGCACCGGGGAGCCACAGGGGCTCTGTCCCTTGTCCTTCAGCCACAGGGGCTCTGTCCCTTGTCCTTCAGCCACAGGGGCTCTGTCTGCCTGTCCCCTGTCCCTGTGTCCCCTCCTCCCATAACCCCGGCTCTCTCCGCAGGCCTCCTGCCCCGTGGACGTGGCCGATGGCAGCGGCCGCACCGCGCTGCACCTGGCGGGTGAGTGGGGACAGTGCCAGCYCTGTCCTCTCGTGTCCCCGCGGGGGGCAGCGCTCAGCCTCTGTCCTTGCCCGCAGCTGCCAGCGGCTGCATCTCCTGCTCCGAGATCCTCTGTGACTTCAAGGCCCCTTTGAACAGCAAGGACAAGGTGAGATCKCTGAGCTCCCGGCCCTGCTGTGCCAGCCCGGGGCTGTCCCAAAATACAGCTTGGGGTGGCACAGGGGACTCGGGGTGACACCTGCAGGGGGATCTGAGCCCGCTCTGCTCCTCCTCCCCGCTGCCGTGCCCAGGAGGGCTCCACGCCGCTGATCCTGGCTGCCAAGATGAGCCACTCGGAGCTGTGCCGGTACCTCCTGCACCGCGGGGCCGCCGTCAACAGCCGGGACCTGCAGGGCAGGTGGGGCTGCGGCACCGGGGGCGGCGGTGGCCGCGGCAATCGGGCACTGAGCCGCGCTCTCCCCGTGCCCAGGACAGCGCTGATGTTGGCCTGCGAGAGCGGCAGCGTGGACACCGTGGAGGTGCTGGTCAGCGCCGGYGCCCGCGTGGCCGTGGTGGACGCCACCGGGCACGACGCCGCTCACTACGGGCTGGCCACGGGCAACGCCCTCATCCAGCACCTCCTGCAGGAGGCGGCCCAGCGCCGCTCCTGGGCCAGCGGTGAGGCTGCGGGGGCACCCCGGGGCTCCTGTCACCCTGCACGGGGCTGGCAGAGCGCGGGGGATCGTGTCCCCCTTTTCCCCGGTGTTTTGGGGCTGCCTTTGCCTGCGCTGCCCCTGCACCCACTGAGCTCTGAGCCCCTAAAGCTCCCCAATTTCTTTTTTCTCCCACTCTGCCCCACAGAAGAGGAGTCGACTGAGCAGACGTCACAGGTGAGGGGCTGCTGCCCATCCCTGGAAGGTCCCGGGTTGGGCAGGGAGGTCACCATGGGGGTGATGTCCCCTCTGCCCTGGGGTCTCCGCAGACATCTTCGCCCAGCCAGTCGTCTGTCAGGGACAAGAGCAGCACCCCGAGGAAGAGRAAGGCCCCTCTGCCTCCCCCGGGCACCTCCAGCCAGGTCAGAGGGGGGTCCCCATATCCTCACCTGGCCTGGTGGGTGCAGAGCAGCCCCAAACCCCCTCGAKGAGGGGCTGTGCTGGCACCGGGGGCTCCATGCCCTGCAAGAGCTTGTCCCGTGTCAAAAAGCCCCCTGAGGCACACGGGGTTGGAGGCAAAGACATTCCATGATTCCRTGATTCCTGCAGGAGGACCGGGATGCCTATGAGGAGATCGTGAGGCTGCGGCAGGAGAGGGCCCAGTTCCTGCAGAAGATCCGGGGCCTGGAGCAGCAGGAGAAGCAGAGACGGGAGGTACCAGCTGCAGGGTCCTGGGGAGATGCCACCGTGTCCCTGGGGAGCAGAGGGGRCAGCGGGCAYGGGGACAGCRGGCACRGGGACAGYGGGCAYGGGGACAGCACTCATCCCTCCCTGTTTTCTCCCTGGGTGCTGGCAGCGGGCAGAGCTGGAGGAGGGCTCCCTGCGCTCCATGGAGAAGCAGGTGAGGCCAGGGAAGAGCTCAGCTYTGAGGGCTCCTGGTGCCGGGAATGCCATCGGGACTCAGTTCCCGTGCCTCGCCCCACAGATTCGGGAGCTGGAGGAGCGGCTGGCGGCGCGGGATGGGGAGAAGAAGAAGCTGGGCAAGGAGGTGGAGGCTCTGCGGAGCCGCCTGTCCTCGCTGGAGGTGGGTGTGGGCAGGACGCAGCTGGCAGTGCCCAGGGCTGGGGACAGGCKGTCACCTCCACCCTGCACCCCCAGAACGAGAACACGAGCTATGACATCGACACGCTGCAGGATGAGGAGGGAGACCCGCTGGAGTTCCCAGGTAGGGCCCTGCGGATTCCCAAGGACACCCCGGGGAGGTGGCGCTGGGCAGGGGGGGCACAGGTGGGCACAGCCCCGGGTCTCTGTGTCCCACAGGAGCAGAGATGCTGCTCTCCAAGAAGACGCTGAGCCCCTCGGCTGAGGAGCTGCTGGCCACRCTCCAGGGGCAGGTGAAATCCCTGACTGTGCAGAACAAGGAGCTGAAGGAGAAAATCCAGGCACGTCCCMCTCTGTCCATCCCTGTGTCCCTCTGTCCCTGCCCTGTCCCCTGTCCCGCAGTGGCCTCACGCTCTCTCGGCAGGTGCTGGAGAACTACGAGCGGGACGAGAGCAGCCCCCCTGCCCCGGGGRACATGGTGCCCGCCAGTCGGTACCAGGCCCTGCAGCGGGAGCTGGAGCAGCTGCGGGCACAGAGCAGGGAGGCCAAGGCCGGCGGGGACGGGCAGCGTGGGGCCTCGGAGCCCATCCCGGGGGGAAGCGCGGGGCTCCGTCCCGAGGAGCCGGCCTGGGCCCGGGGCGAGCGCAAAGTGGCGCTGGGCGAGCTGGGGGTGCAGACATCCCCCTCCTCCTCCCCGTCCGGCGAGCGGGCGCCGGGCGCGGAGCTGGCGGAGGCGCGGGCGGCCCTGAAGCGGGCACAGACCGAGCTGGAGGAGCGCGAGCGGCGGCTGAAGGAGCTGCGGGCCCGGCTGGAGGCTGCGGAGGCCGCGGCCTCGCCGGGAGCCTCTGCAGAGGAGGCGTCGAGGGAGAAGGAAGCGCTGCTGGAGCGCTGCGGGCGCGCCGAGGCCGAGGCCCAGGCGCTGCGGCGGGAGCTGGAGGCGCGGCCGCGGGACACGCCGGGAGCGGC